CCAAATATCGCAGCGGGGACGCCAGGACTCAGATGATTTGAGGTCAAATATCATATTTAGACTTTTTTTTTTTTTTTTTTACATATAATTGTAACGCAATACATGATTGTCACTAAAAGCCTTGTCTCTACATTACAATAAAATATAACAAATATTGATTAATTAATTTGAATACAAATTCAAGTTGGTAGCTATTAAAGGCATAAAAAGACAGACATTTATAATTCTTTGTGTCCAAACCAGGCTTTTCTGGATAAGCGCATTTTTAGAACATAGTCATTGTCCATGCCGGTTTCAGTTGGATTATTTGTCACAGTTTCTGTGATCAGATCGGTCTCCTCTATTTTGTAGATTATTTACGACTTTTGAATCCACATAAACACATCGGCAAAATCCGGCTTACTCACGGACGAATAAAAAAACGAGAAAAAAAAAACTAAATGGGTCGCGAAATATACTTGGGCAGCCGTTAATATACTTGGGCGGCCCGCCGAAGTATATTAATATAGTCTATGTGTAGGAAACCCTGCTGATGTTATGTAACTTGGAGAATTAACATAGTTTAAAATGTATCAAGTGATGCTTCCTTTTAATATGTTTTCAGATCGGTGTTGCAAATCTACAGGTTTACGTGCACGACTGATGAAATGTTTAGAAATCAGTAAATGCAGAGAGCTTTTTTTTTTATTCAAATGATTTTGTGTCCTATTCAGAACCTACTATTTCTGATATCAGTTGTCAGAAGAAAAACTGTGTACATTTTGAGGCTTTGTTTGTTCTGCTCCACAGATGTAAACGTGGCGTTCCAGCAGGCGGCTCACAAGGTGCTGCTGGACGACGACAACCTGCTGCCGCTGCTGCACCTCACCGTAGACTACCAGGGCAAGGACAGCAAAGGTGCGCTGCTGAATGAACTACTGTATTCATTTGACTTTAGGACCATGCTCTTCTTCATGAAGTGTTTAGCGCCATCCAGTGGTGTTATCCTCAAACTGAAGCCGAATTAAGAGTCATTTGAAATACATTTAACTAGCAGTTATTTGAATCATTTCACTTATTTTCTAAGCAAAAATGCATCACATCTTCCATTTCTCAAATTTGATGATTTTCTGCTTCTCTTTGGTTTTCTGCTTCTCTCTCTCTCTCTCTCTCTCTCTCTCTCTCTCTCTCTCTCTCTCTCTCTCTCTCTATATATATAAAATAGATGTTTAGCAGTTCAGAATGTAGGCCGGATTAAAAAAACAGAATATGAAGATGTCGTATTTGGCTCAGGAAATCGAATGTAATGTATGTATGTATGTATGTATGGACAAAACTCTAAATCAGTTACTTGTAAAAACCTAATTGTCAGATAAATGAATTATGGCACAGCTCTGTTTTGAATCATGAGCTCAAGGGAAATGAGTCTGCAATGAACCAAAAGCTTCAGATCAGTTGCAATCACTAGAGAACCAAACCGAAGCCTCTCTCCACACAGTGGGAGGTGATCCGACTCATTTAGTGAATGGGGATTCTGGTTGTCTTTTCAGAGGCGACAGGCCCCAGAGATAGCGCCACTCCTCCTCAAGACACGTCCCCCCGGGAGGTCCCCCCCACAGGGTGGGCGGCTCTCGGCCTCATCTACAAGGTCCAGTGGCCGCTGCACATCCTCTTCACCCCCGCTATCTTGGAGAAGTGTGTACTCATTAAGCTCCACTCTGTAGCATTCATTTGAATACGTGTGTTTGTTTAGAGCACAGCCTGTGAACTCCCTCTCCCTCCTCCTCTCTGGGGTCAGGTACAACGTTGTGTTCAGGTACCTGCTGAGTGTGCGCAGGGTGCAGTCTCAGCTGCAGCACTGCTGGGCCCTCCAGATGCAGAGGAAGCACCTGAAGTCCAACCAGACCACCGCCGTGAAGTGGAGACTGCGCAACCACATGGCCTTCCTCATCGACAACCTGCAGTACTACCTGCAGGTAACCACGCTGGGAGAGGGGCAGCAGGGGCACATGCAGATGTTTCATTTAAACTCAGTTTCTTTATCTTTCTTAAGGTGACCATGATGGCTTTGCAAAAACTAATATATTTTATACCTATAAATCTAAGTTTATTTTTAAACAATACGATTCTTTAAGCACCTTCTGAACTATATTTCAAAAATGATTACTGGTATCATTTTTGATCACCTTTCTCAAGTTATATAATAATTTAGGTTCATGAACTTAAATACAGACTGCATGGTTGCAATACAGAGTCACAGTTTTACGTGGTGGTTGTTTCAAAAGAATGATAAAAAAAGTCTTACTATTGTGTCGTAAAAAATGATAAAACAGTGAAACATGTCGTAAATAAGGATTAAAATGTTCTTACTATTGTGTGGAGAAAAAGGAAAATGTAAAAAAAAAAGTATGTTGTCAAAAATATGTTCGTCATAAAAATTAATTTAAAAAAGTTATATTATAGTGTTCTTAAAATTAGGATAAAAATTCATTTTAGAATGTTGTAAAAAATTATTTTAAAAAGTCATAAGAAAGTAAGTTGTAAAAAAATGATAAAAAGTCAATCTATACTTTGTGGTAAGAATCACATTATTTTAAAATGAAACTAAAGTGTGTACGCATATCTTAATTAATCTTAAGAAAATATTTCTTGTGCATGTTCTTGATGTATGCATCTTGTCCCAGTCGTCGCTTCACTTCATGTTGAGTTAAAATCGTAGCATGTGAGCCCGTCATGCTGAATACATTCTGTAGCGGCGATCGCTCATCAAAAAAGGTCACTCATGGAGGTTAGCAGTCAGTTCCCAACGCGTGTTGTGGTGAAGGATGAGGTCCACCATGACGTCAATGCTTTATTTCTTTATACAAAGTTAAAATGTTCTTTTACGAAGGCTTATCTAAAATCACATAACAATCACGCACACGCTCAGACACGGTCAACACAGTTGAAAAACGTGTGGCTTCCTCTCTAACCTCTCATCCCAACTGATCACCTGTGCCCACATATATAGCTTAATTACCTCCCGTGCTCCCAGGTGCGCCAGATTAGACGAGTGACACACACCACACACCACACACCACCACACACACAACCCCCCCCCCCCCGTGCAAAGGCAAATTGGCTCCAACACATTCTGTAACTTCATCTCCTTGTTTCTGTCTCCAGGTGGACGTGCTGGAGTCTCAGTTCTCTCAGCTGCTGCAGCTCATCAACTCCACCCGAGACTTTGAGAGCATCCGATTGGCCCATGACCACTTCCTCAGCAACCTGCTCGCCCAATCTTTCATCCTGCTGAAGCCGGTATAAAAACATGGCTAACTTGTATTGGAAATTAACCGTCTGCCTAAATACATACATTTTTCAGACTAATAGTGTTTTCATAAAGTCTTCCATGCTTGTTCCCTCAGGTGTTCCACTGTCTGAACGAGATCCTGGAGCTGTGCCAGAGCTTCTGCTCGCTGGTCAGTCAGAGCGTGGCGTCTCTGGACGAGAGGGGGAGCGCTCAGCTGGACATCCTGGTCAAGGTGCAGTCTCCTATCTCCTCATTGGTGTGATGCTGGAACATAAAAAGCTATACTCTGTAACACTGCCATGTTTTAATTTCAGGGTTTCAGACGGCAGTCCTCCTTGCTGTTTAAAATCCTCTCCAGCGTGAGGAACCATCAGATAAACTCAGATCTGGCTCAGCTGTTGCTGCGACTGGACTACAACAAATACTACACCCAGGCTGGGGGCACTCTGGGCAGGTAGGATATGGAAGGGTTATCTTTTCAGCTTAAACATTTTTTTTTTACTTACGTTTCCAAGTGCAGATATTACACATACCCAACTCTCTTGAGACAACTAATGTAATCATTTTCTAAATGTCTTTCTTTTCAGTGTTTAAGAAGAGCACACGCTTAAGAATCGCCCATCAGTCCTGCCTATTGGACTTGCCCTGAACAGAATACTGTTAGTATGGAATGCCTGTTTAAAGTATTTTAAGGGTTAGCTCACCCAAAATATAAAATTATATATTCCTTACTGACCTGTGAAGATATTTAGCCATGCAGACAGATGTTTTGTTTTCAGATGCACAATGTGAACAGATTTCCGAGGGACTATTTATTTGGTGGAGAGTAGTTCCAGTGACAACTGGTGAGTTTTGTGGATTAAACACAATAATCTAATAGGTTTAGTGTGATTGAGTTTAACACTTGATTATATTCAACAATCCAATCCTGGATTAAGAACTGTTTATATACTCAAGTAAAACTACTTAGTTGCTATTGTTAAATCCCCTGCTTTATATTTAGCATACAAATATAAATACCAAAATGTTGAAGGATTCCTTTAGAAAACTGACTGTAGTTCAAACTTATATAAACCTGCTTTAAAACCAAATTACTTAGTTATAATAACCCTGGCATATCTTAAACATAATTTTGTAAAGACAAGCTCCTGTTAAAAATGTAAAATCAAATGTTCCCTGATTTGAGCAACACCTCAGCACATACAGCTGATATCATCATGAATTGCGGGAATGTCTTTGGGTGATCAGTCTCTGAGCTCATTATCCTTGTATAAACTGTAAATATGAAACCATGTGTATCGTTTTCTGCAGAGAAAATAAACTCCAATGGATTAAAATGAAACCACAAGGTCACTGTTTTAATGTCCCATAAAAACAGACAGGAGAAACTTATATACAGCAGAGGCATGCAATGGATCTAATGCTGAACATTTATCATGGTCCAAGGCATTTAACATGTGATTAGGAGGAGGAAGAGGAAGAGTAGTCATGGCGATACTGAGGCTTGCTGTGGAAACCCATGCGCTCCCCGCGGATGACACTTTGGATGATCCACTCGGGGGACACTAGCGGGACTTCCTGTGATGTCACGTTTTTCTCCACCAATGGCGGGCAGGCACTGTCTGTCACCACGAGGTCGTACTTGCCCGCAGGAATGTCTGCAGAGCGAGGGAAGAACAAACTGTTAGAAAAAGTGTGAAGTTAAATTGAACACACATGTAAAGTTGAGAGTCTGTACCTGAGCCGTCCTTGTCCGTCTGGAAGTGTCGGACAGACGAACCTCCACCCATGGTGATCAGCTGCGCCCAAAGCTCCACCGGCTTCTCAAACACCAGAAGGACCCGCAAGGCTTTGAACGGGCTGCAGCGCGGATGCCTGATCGGAGAGAAAAGAGTTCTCTTTTGGCATCATGTAACATAATAGTTTCAGATACGTTTCAAATTCTTGTAAAAAGTATAGGTAAATTCAAGAAAGATAAGAAAAAAATAACAGAACAATTCCAATCTGAGATTTAATATAACACAGATTACAAAGCAATCACTCGTACGTACAAAGTTAACTTTAAGGGTATTTTTACATTCTTATTTTTTGAACAATGCTGTGGCAATACTGCATGTCATTGAGGTCATGTATGTTTGATTGTAGGCACTTTTAACACTGGTCTTGCTTATTGTACTTAAGATCTGGATTTCTTACTCCACTATTGCAGTTTATTATAGTTTTTTAGAACTCAATTATAAACATTCAAATGTTTCTTTTCTTTATTTTACATACCCTTAATCGTCCCACAGAGGGTACATTCTGCATTTGACCCATCCTAGTGTTAGGAGCAGTGGGCTGCCATTTTGTGCGGCACGCAGGGAGCAGTGTAGGATAATGAAGGATGTAGTCCATCAAAGTCTTGCTGACATTCTTTTAAACTGGTTATAGATCATGTAATAACTGAGTAACGGATAGAACCACAGGCAAGAAGACCTTTAAACCTCCAGCTTTATCGTTTTCATGGGATTTATCTTTGATGAAAGCAAAAGATCCTTCTGTAACTAGAATGCTTAAACAACCCTATATCATTTCTACCAAATCCATCTAGTGCAACCAAAAGAATAAATCATGCTGATCCCCTCACCACTCCACTATGGCCTCGTCGGGCCCCGCTCCGGCGGGCAGCAGGTAGTTCCTGTAGTTGAGCAGCTTGTTCTCTTTGCAGCAGTCTCTCACCCAGATGTGCGACACACTCGGCACACCGCTGGCCAAACACAGCAGGTACTTCCTGGTGCGGCAGTGCTGGTCTGCAATCAGCAGGCTCTGATAGGCTGCCTTACACTGCGGAGGGGACAGGAAGGAGAACATGGGCAGCGTGTTAAATACCTTAGCAGGAGCTGTGATTATATTTATCATCTTAGTACTCAAGAATATAATTGCATAAGATCACACCTTAAATAACACGTATACAGAGCTTTATCAGTGGAGAGTATAATAATTTGAATAATACATATATTTATAAGACTGTTAGAAAATATATGAAGAGCAATGTTTCACAAAATAACCAGAAATGAATCATCTTAAAACAACGTGTGTCACATGCTTGCACATAATGAGTTAAATCTGGAAAATGGAGAACAATATCTGATACCATTTGTTATTCGAGACAAAGCTGCAGATGACAGAAAATCTGACCAATTTCAGCAAAATAATAATTTATGGCTATAAAATATTGGAGGCATTTTTACACATTTTCTAGGCCATCATTCTTTATTATTTTATTCACAGGAAGTTTGATAGTTGAGTTGTTTTCAGAGCACTTACTTGTTCTTCATTGAAGTCTGCCAGGACGAAGCCCCCCCCCGCCTGCAGCTGAGACTCTGTGTATGCTTTGTTATACGGACCCGTCTCCACGTAATCTGTTAAAAAGAAAAAGTGAATAATTGATAACCAAGAACCAGTACAGATAGGGAAGCATCAGTCACATGCTGCAGTTGGATTGTGTGATGATACGGGATCGTCCTGCCTCACCGTCCTCATCGTCGCTGGCGCTCTTGTTGGTCAGCCGGTCGATCTCGGACGAGGCAGTCAGCATGAAGGCGAAACCCATAAAGAGGGTGGTGTTCTTGGGCAGGGGGCCGTGAGTATCAGCCACGTCACCAGCCTGACCGGGGAGATCTGTGCCGCTGCCGGAGGTGTTACACACCCCCACCCGCTGAGCTGGAGAGGAAACACACGTTTCAGAGGAGGAAGCAGAAAAATGCCAAAGTATCAGACAAATAAATAAATGTTGTGACTCTCAAATGTCTTCTTAAAAAACATTCTCCCTTACCTCTAGTAATATCTGGCCCTGCAGATTGTTTAATTTTTAACTGCTAATTATTTCAGATTTCCACAAAAAATATGTTGCTGTTGCTGCAAATCAGAGCTGGTCCAGGCAATGCTTATCTGCTATCTGCATCACTGCATACAACTAGAGGCAAGTCAGAAGATTTGTTTCCATAAATTGGCTGAACTGAATTATTTAGCCTGACATATATCACCTGGCTTTGTTAAAAAACACCTGTGACTTTTAAAGGGGGGCGTGTGGCGCAGTGGATAGAGCCTTGGTGTTGGGATCAGGGGAGCACAGGTTCAAACCCCACTGCAGTCAGCATGTCGTTGTGTCCCTGAGACACTTCAACCCAAGTTGCTCCTGTGGGGATTGCCCACAGTATTGAGTATGTAA